ACACAGTGATTGACAGGTCTCTACCAGAGACGTATACGACGTCTCTATGTCACTCAGACATTTATTCAGGAGGTTCAATCCATGTCAACAGGAAGCTTATCAGCATTGGAGGTCTGATAACTTGTCCGTGCAGCCGAGGGCCTCACAGACAGTGAATGTGAACAATGTGGAAACCAGACACCGCTCACCTGGAAGAGACGGCAGGACGCAGGTGTTTGGACCGGGCCTCTCCGGGTCTTCAGGGGAGTATTTGGATTCGAGGACCTGGTGGAGGTTGAAGAACTCTCTGTACCTCCTGTAGGTGAGGTACTTGCTCCCTCCTTTAGTCTTCACCTCCATCACAAACATCTGGGGACAAAACAGAGACGTGAACGAGACGCTTTCTCTCTTTCTCTAGGCTCGGTGAACAGTTCGTGGTGATTCCTTTGGAAGAAAACGTACAAAGTAATCGATGAAGCCTTTGTTCTCCTCCACATCAGCGATGGTGGCGCTGATGGCGATGTTATGAGGCAGCTGATCAAAGTCACTGAGAACAGAAGACACAACCTGAATGAGTTTATGGAGGCATTGCTGCTGGAGAAATGCATTTTGATCCCATTATTTTCAAGTCATCAGATCTGAAACAAAGTGTTTATGATATTAAATCCTGATATTAAACCTTTAAATGTCAGAGAGTTAAAGTCAGATATCTGAAGACACACCAGAGGCGACATATTTGCCATTTCTTTCTCTTCTGTCGCAGTTTCAACACACTTTACATGTTGCATGTATTAATGAGCAAAACAATTCAACATAAAACACACATTTCTCTCTGAGATAGAAACGAACACACAGAGTCAGCCTCTCCAATGTGAAGAGGAAGCTCACTAGTAACTGATATGACACTGTGATATTGTATCAGCGCTATAGAGACTGTGGAGCCTCAGACACGAGGAGTAGAAGCAGCTCACCTCTCCTCTCGCAGCTGCTGCGGCACAGACATCCTGATGTTTGCAGAGCAACTCTACACGTCGTGAGCGGAGAGAAGCTTCACTCTGATCCGTCTGCAGCGGAGAGGATCAGGCAGCAGGAAGCCACAGTTCCCTTTCAACGTAATAAAACAGAGGAAGCGTGCGTTCGTTTGGGCGGCGGGGGGCGGGGCCTTTGGGGCACAGGTGTGCACGTGAGACACGGCAGGAAGGTTATGACGTAACCTCAGGCAACAGGTAGAGCGTCACAACTTGTAAGGATGATTTAAATCAAAGCCTTATTTCATGGAGTCTGACCTGAGCAGTTACAGGGACAGTGTGTGAGCTCTAGTGGCCCTCTAGTGGTTTGTGGCAGAATGCAGCGTTTGGTCCCACACACACACGTTACATCCAGTGTAAACAGGTTCAATACATCCACACAATATGTGTGTTTTGTGATGCTACATTGGCCCAAACATATCAAACATCCTGTAGTTTCTTGTCTCTTTGTGGTGGTTTTGAGTCTCTTGCTGGTCTGTAAGTGTCTCTCTGAAGGACATGTAGTTGTTGAAGGACCTGGGGGCCCTGACACTTTGGGGGCTGTGCACAGTAACCCTGTTCAGTAACCCATGTCTACTCGTGGTGTAACGTACTGAGTACTGGCTGAAGGTAAATTTTAACTGATGTGTTCACATGTCATCTGTAAAATGTAGTTTTGGTGACAAACTTGAATAAATCCAGTAGTTTGAAGGAGATGTTTATGAATATAAAATAGATATTAGAGATGAATTATGAGCTGTTTAACTTCATAACACGAGCTCTAAGCACATTATTATACTTCTGTAAACATAATAATGATTTTTGGGACTGTGGCAAAACAACAACACCAACAACAACAAAAGGATCTGCATCTGCCAATAACAATCATCAATGATCGGCAATTAGTATCGCTGGCAAAAACAACAACGTGGTTTAGGACCTAAAAGTCACATTTGCCTTTTTTCTGTCGTGCTGATCCGATCAACGGCTGTGATGTGGTCTCATCACCTCTTCACCTTCAGTAATGTGGAGCAGAAAGGCCTGGACATAATAAACACAGGAGGAGTTACAGGAGGGAACACTTACCAAGTGGTACAATAATCTAACGTGCATCACATCTCTGATCTCTGTACTGTCAGTGTGCAGTAAACACCATATCACTGGCTGTTGTATTAGCTGAGAAAATCATGGATATAAATAAGTTTCATTTTGAAGCTGTTTCTGAATCCCCTCCTTGTTCTAGAGGTCACTGTACCAACACCACCGACTGCAAATGAGTTTTGAAGATCTTAGTATAAATAGTAGCCTCTGGGAGTCCCCGAGCACTTCTCAGGAAGCTCATTATTCCTACAGAGCTTCTGTTTCACTCCAGAGTTCACAGTCGCACCTCCAGAGCTCCTCCTCCGTCCATTCCCACCAGCGCTGCCATGCGCTCCATCCAAACCTCCATGAATAACGCCCACATTCAATTTGAGTGATTAGTGTAAACGCTGTGAACAAGATGGTGACTGTTGGCCGCCTCTCCCAGCCTCCCACTCTGAACCGTCACACGGTGGCAGACGGTTCATCCACGTCACAAACACACAGCATTACTGCAGTGTGTGCTGGCGAGAGACCACGTTAACATTTAGTAAACAACATACTGTTCAGCTTCTGTTTTCACCTTTTATTTAAGGAGAAACAGACGAATCAAAGTAAACTAAAGACTGAACCAAACAAGTCAAACCTAAAGACACAGAATGAGTCCTTCTCTGTCAGAGCCTGAGCTGGATCAATTTACATTTTTCAGTTTCTAAAAACCACGGGTACGTTGAATGTCCACGTTTTTGGATTCGGTCAGAGCGAGTTGTGTAGTATTTATTGAAAGTTCCATGCTATAATAACGAGTAAGTCCTCCTGCAGGACAGGTAGGACGGGTCAAACTAACACAAGACTTCACTCAGACCACTGCTCATGTCCGTGTGAAACCAAAGGCACACACTGACCTTACGCTTTTTACATTCATGACATTGTTTCGGTTGATGTGTTACATTGTTGAATTATATTGTTTCTGTTGTTGCGTTACGCTTATTTGCTACATTGTTTTGTTTTTTGTGACATTGTTTTGTTACGTTGTTGCGTTACGTTGTTGCGTTACGTTGTTGCGTTATGTTGTTGCGTTATGTTGTTGCCTTACATTGTTTTGGTTGTTGTGTTAGTATTTGAACACCAACCATGGCCTAGTGTAGTGTGATTTATTTGGTAATTTAACTGCATAAAGTGTCTTTGAGTACCATGAAAAGCTCTCCATGAATAAATTGTATTGTTAACATTAATCAAGCTGTGAGACAAAACATACAGTAACAAATGTGCGAGTATGTGTGTGTGTGTGTGTTTGTCTTTTAATTGATGGTTATTGGGTAGAATTCTGTTAACTTAGACTGTCAATCATAAGAAACAAGGTCTATGCACGTAGTGAGCGTATATTGAGACGATCCAACACCGATGTTTGAGGGGAACCCATAGCGTCACAGTTTGAAGCTTAGGTCCCATAGAAATAGAATAGGAGTAGAACAGACATTAACATTCAAATCAGCATAGCTGGATGGCCAGAGTGGCTGTATAGAAGTCTATGAGAAAATGACTCTACTTCTCTCTTGAT